AATAGAAATGGTAATAAAAATGGTATTTAAAGGTTTGCTTTTGGGAATTGGTGGATAGTTATATGTATATGTATTAGAATGGGTCAGGATGGGCAGCAGGGCTTAATTGATTTCTAAAAACCTTGGGTTGCGCATACAGTTGCGCACAGTCCTGGAAGCAGACACACTGTCTAACACAACAATGCCACACAGATGCATCCACAACCTGGCAAAGAGGGGGGCATGTACCACACTGTTCCATAACACAAGACAAGGGTGGCACTAGCTAACAAGGTCCCCAGAGTTGGGGGGGGTCAAGTTCCAGTTTTGGGGGAACAGACCAAATTAGGAGAAGGTCCAGAAAGCCCAAATTAGTATGCCTGCATGTGATGAGCTATGTGCCTGTGTGACACAGAGAGACTGACCATCAACAGCCACAAATCAAGAGTCATCAGGAGGGAGGGAAAATAGAAAAGAAGAGACTTGAGAATAACAAAGGGGTCCCTCCCCTTCCCATCCCTCCTCCCTGAGAGGGTCCCCAAGAGGATTCCCTGCCCGTATCCCCCGGGAAGTATCCCCAAGGCCACCATGAATAGAAAGCAGACCACCAGCCTATATCATCCACCCCACTGGAGGGGAAGTGGGGGATTGGGGGGAGGGGGTGGGCTCAGCATTCCACCTCCAGGCTGCTGACATGCTAACATCTGACACCTAAGAGAGAGCCTCAGAATAAAGACTGCATCGTGGTCAGTTGTACTTAGACTCTGATGACAGCCCTACGATTTGGTAGATACACAGAATTGCTTGATTGTTTGTATTCTTTTCTGTTATTACTGTGTATCAATAAATTAGCCTATTATTAAATGGAAAGGTTGTGGTCCATCTGAGGGTGGTAATAAGGTATCTGGGTTCTAAATCCAGAGACAATTTAAGCCTAGTACTTAAGAGTGCTCACCCAGGAATTTAGGGACCAAGGTTCTAACCCTCCCTGTCACCCTGCAGGGGGTTCAAATCTGCATATTTCCTGCCTTGTTAGACAGTACTCTAAATCACTAGGCTACAGGGCAGGTATTATCCAGTTCCCTCCAACTGTGTGTAAGGGCCATTGAACAAGCATAAGCTGATCAAGTCCATTTGAAACTCCAAGCCACTTGCTGCACAGACATGCTCAAAGAGAATCCAGACAGCAACATGTAGGAAGTCAGGCCACAGGAAATGGCTAAATTAAGGTGCGACAACCATAGAAATGAAAGTATGATTTTTGTAACATTAATTCAGTAATGCCTTAACTTTAACCTACAACTAGCTCCTAACCGTATTTCCTGATGAATCCCACTACCTGCCTTTTCAACATGTAAAAAAAGTCCTATCTGATAAAGATGTAACATCTATGGGTATAAGTTAAATTCCTGAATGTTTTATATTTATCCCTGAATCCAGTCGGCATTTCTCTAGATCACTGATGCTCAACCTTTAGGCCCTGCGGCCACATGAGTGGTGCAAGACCACTCCGTGGGACATATAGGGCCCCGATGCCAGGCACTGCCCCCTCAATGCCCCACATACTGAGACCCTTCTGTCATCCTACATGCCAAGATTATGCCTGGCATTGCCCTTGCACCCCCATCCAGCACACAGGGTCCAGGGCTCTGC